CACGTACCTCGTCAGCTGGAAAGGGTATCCTTCCAGTCGTCGAGGTACATGTACCTCGTCGACTGGAAGGAAGCCCTCCCGGGGATCGACGATCAGATGGCTAAAGGGATCGGAATTCAATCTTCTGGACTGGGATGAATGATACCCTCAGCAAGCTCATCAGCCCAACCAATTCGACACCAAACACCACCGCACATCGGCAGCTTTCTCTTGCGCCCGAATAGGACCCATTTCATTACAATCCTCCCAGCCAACCAGTGATCCAACTGGCTAAATCAGTCACCTCACTCCTCAAACTCTCGCGCGACTGTTCTTCAAGAAATTGACAATATATGGCGTCGAGCTTCGGCGACGCGGACGGACGCGTTGAGATGATGCCAATCTGGAGGGGGCATCGCATCAAGAATTATGGATGGGATCGTGCAACAGAATGTTTGGCAGTCAAAAGTTGTGTTCGACTTAGGTGAAGATACATAGAGATGATGATAGGATGGATGGAGAAGACATACGGGCTGTGGCGATTGGATGGACCCGATTGGTCGGCTTGAGCCGACAGATCAGTCTGTCCCGAGAACTCGGCATCATGAGTTTCATGGGCGTACAAGGCTTGTCGGAAGACCTCGATGTCGTCATCCTTGTACCACCTGCGATATCACGAGGGTCAGATATTTTTGTAGGTCGACCAGGCCGTTATAGAGAAACCGGAAGACTCAACTTCTTCTTGAACTCCTCACAGCCCCAGTCGGCGACACCCTTGGGGGGATGGGGTCGGTCTGGATCGGCTTCCCCATACGACCTACTTCCATCCTGTTATCCCTAACAATCATACCTTTGACTCTCAAAATCATTCCAAAGCTTGGTTCCTTACTTACTTGATTTAATCATTTCTCTATTGTCATTTGAAATTTTGAGATAGCTGCTGAATTGATAACAATCTTTAGTTTTTTTTTTCAAAAATTCTTGTACTTTTATATCTCTCTTGGTTGGCTGGAAAATTTATTCCTGCAAATTCAAAAATTGCCCCAAAGGAATTGACGGGCGTTGATAAACGCACGCCAGCCCCCCTGGCGCACGCCAAACCGCACGCCAGGTGCGGATTGGCGTGCGCGCCTGCACACCAACGAAAATTGGCGTGCGGGGCTGCACGCCAATGACCTGCAGGGATATACCCTGCAGGTTGGCGTGCAGGCCCTGCAGGTTGGCGTGCAGGCCTGCACGCCAAAGAAGTTTGGCGTGCGAGGCCGCACGCCAGGGCCTAAACGCATATACATATGCGTTTAGGCCCCAGGCCGACCCATACGACCC